GAAACGGCAGGTCAAGTTACAATCTGACCCTCTGTTCCCTTTGGAAAAAATATTTTTGTGCTGGCTGCAACTCCATCTACATGCATGTTTGGTGCTCTCTTTTACTCATCAAAATACTGTTTCACAGAGCCAAATAGATAGGTTTGTAAGAAACTATACTGAGAAACTCCTTGGGATTTGCTCCACACTGCTGCTGAATGCAAAGAATGACTTTGGTCATCAACAATCTAAAATCAGATGTGATATATCTTCTGGTCTGATATGAGTTGGAAAGAGAATGTAACCACCACAAGGAAAGACCACAAGGCAGAAAAGGGACAGGAAAAGCATTAAGCAGGTGGTCAGAGAAAAGTCCACATTAAAGAAGTGCTACTTCCCCTGCTTTATGTTACATCCTTGTCTCCACTGCTTTTGCTAACATATCACAAGGGATGGTCCCGGGAGCACTACTCAGTTACATCACTTTGCAATGAATTCTCTATGTTACAATCACTTTGAATTGGACCTTAAAAGTACAGGAAATGTCACTTCACATGCTTCTAAGAATTGTGCTTTTTTTTTTTTTTTTTTTTTTTAAAAAATCTTTCCCATTCTAATTTTTAAGCTAATTTTAGCTGATAGCTGCTCTATTCCCTCCTCCCCCACCTCCCCGAGCAGGTGAGTATAACAGTTCTGTCATCTTAGTCACTGTTGAAAGCTATGGCATTTGAGACTGTTACTGGAGAGCAATGTTTTTCAAAGTAAAATTAAGATTAGGTGGTCTGCCCTTCAATTTCAAATTCCGTCCTTCCCTGCAGAATAATTCTTCCAAAATAAAAAAACCCACACAAGTAACCAGCGTGACTATGTAATCAGACTGAGAGCAATGCCAGAGAACAAGAAACTCCTTTGTATCTTCTAGAAATGGTCTATATTAGTCATAACAGCACAATAGCAGTAGCTAGCACTGTCCCTGGTGGGCTGGGTTGCTGGTTCTCTAGAGAGATGAAATGATTCAGCCATGGCAGTAGTTTCTCAAGCGGTGGTTGCAATCTCCTTGCTGTGTGAGAGAAGGGCTCTGCTGACAGAATTCACTTCCTGATTTGGAGAAGACCACGAACTACTTAGCTGTCCATCTGGGAGCATCCTACACAAAGGCAACAGCTGCTTGCATGTCCTGACAAAAGAATATGTCTTATTTTTACAAAGCAGTAAGTCCAAGAAGGCAAAGACTTAGTAGTGCCTTTAAAAACATCTGACTGTGAAACTATTTTTAGCTTTCTATTCTTAAGGGGCCTTGAAGAAACTTCTCAGTTACTGGAGCCAAGGTTGTGGTGAGAACATACTGGAATGGAATCAAGAATCACACCTTCCCCTCCTCCCCCTTCCACCTGACAGTGATCTTCTATTGTTGCTACAGTGCTGCTTTTTACACGCCAGAAAACCACAGATTGAGCAAGCAGACTGGGAGGTGCTGGCAGCCCCAGATGAAAAATACCATGGTGGAGAGAAGACTGAGGAGGGAAGATTGCGACTGAATGGGATGGAGGAACCCATGTATGGGAAAGAGCAGAAAAATTGGCTGTAAAGGCAAAAGGACAAATAACCCAATTACAGAAAGCAAAACAGAAGTAGGTACTCACATTTCAATCGGGGGAATTGCCTGTCCCAGCCAAAACTTGGCCTCTCTTCATGCCATGAACTCTATGCATGTCAGCCTTCCCTTTACAGGTGCTTTTAGTTCCCAAACACTGCACTCCATGTATGCAGCAGTATCTCTTCCCATTGCTGCATTCTCCTTTACCCCAACAATCCAGAAACGAGGTATTGAAAATTTATTTTTTCACAGGAGGATCACTGGCTAATTACACAATGAACTGTTGGAGACCGCCAGACAGCCCGGGGGTCGCTGACAGGACAAAGATCTCTTCCTCTACCACCAGAGCCAAACCAAACTCAGGCCAGGTGAAAGGAAAATGAAGTCATCACTGTCTGTCTCATACTGGATGACAAGGATTGGAGAGTCCTGTGTTAGTTCCTTGTAGATAAGTAATCATTGCACAGATACCACGCAATGTGATTCCCTTTGACAGCTGTCCCAGTGCAGAATACTCCCCATCTGGAATGCTCCACTAGCATTAAACTGACAAGAGTCGAAAAAGACAGGTGTAACAGCCTGAAGACAGAGGGACATGGAGAAGTGTGGCTAATAAAACTCTGTTTGAAAGGGCAAAGAACAGCTAAACACGGCAGGGACCTTCTTGAGTTCTGAAGACCTGTGCCTCATCTCTCAGCACTACCCTTGCCTTAGTATATCCAGCAAGCAAGAGATGCCAGCACCAACCTGAATGTAGGATTTTGTTCAGGGTACTTGCAGGATGAGAAAATTAAGGTCTTAGGGACAGAATATGTTTATCTTTGCAAAGGATGGGAGATATCAAGGGACAGAGACAATAAAGTGACATTAGTCTTTAATCTGTACTTACTCAGCTGCTGTGCAAACACTAACTTGACTTTTCTCACAACAGTCCATGTGAGAGGTAGGCATTTATAGCTGCCATTTCACAGAGGAGGCAAACACATGGGGTTGTTCAAAGCCATACGCATGTCAATGGCATAAGCAAGATGCAAATGTGAGCATTCCTACTTCCTGCCACCAAACATGGTGTGGCACCCTATGTTCTCCTGCCCCAGGAAGGCTGATTCTTTCCCCAGGAGCAAAACCAACACATTAACTAAAGGCTTTCTGGTAGGGGAACCACAGCTGACGCATGAAGTTGTGACTCCAGGGAGCATTTAGGCCCATCCCTCATCTTTAACTCTTATAATTCAGTGCACACATCTGCATCAATGAACCATTGGTACTGTTCTCTGTTGAGAAGGCCCTGCACTACCAAAGTACAAATTGAACACAGGTAACAAGGCTTTCATTAATAGTAGGGAAAAAATGCAATTGTTGCTTTGCTTACCAGCTCAGCTCCCTCATCTCCCTCATCTGCCTTCCCAAGGAGTGCTTAGGATAGGTTAGGGTTGCATATAATAGTGCACTACCTGTTTACTACTCTTCCAAGAGCCATGCAAAACGCTTGCTTAGCAGCCAACCATCCCTCAGTAAGAAAGAGAAAGAATTTTATTTCTTCTTTCAGTGCATGCCATTTGTCAAACTGTCCTTTCACTTTCCAGGCCGAGATCAAACAAGGTTTTCATTAGGCTTAAGTCTGCTAAGATCATCAGCAGGAGCTCCACATGAGAAGCTTTTATTTGTTTTTTCTTGGTTAATGCATTCTGGAACGGAATGGAAAGGAATGGAAAAAGAAAGCCCACTTTCTCTTATCATAAAATATATAGTGCCCCTGATTCTGAGTGAGGTATTCTAAGTATGGCAGTTTGGAGACCTTCAGATACTTACAGCTTCAACAGCTTTCAATCCGGTCTTTATGTTGTTGACTTCCTTCTCCAGCTCTACCAGGCTGCACAGGAGAAAGACATGGAACAAATAAAACAAAAAAAGCAGTGTTACACAGGAATACAGGAACTGTGTAGCAGGACAGACCATTGGCTCATCCAGTCTGGTATCCAGCCTCTGGCACCAGCCATGCCAG